CCCCCCCCTCTCGACTTTTTTCACTTTGATGTTCCTTTCCCATTGTGAAGCCTGAAATCAACTAAAGGGCTAATGATAGCCATCAAAACGCCTGCCATTTGATATAAATAAATAATTAACATTAGCCCTTTAGTTGACTTCCGACGTCACAGAGGGGAGGAACATCAAAGTCGCAAAAAGTCGAGAGGGGGTTCAGAAGAGTGATTCACAGATGAAAAAGAGACAGACACAAAAACAGAGAAAAGGCTAAGGTGAGGTCTGTGAAATTGATCAAATATGACACACAATGGGGTCATGGTAGTTTGAAGTGAGAAATCAACTGCTGTATGAGTATACGCATATATGTAGTTAATTCCTTGTCAATTGCTCGTCGCTTAACGAATACCCACTAGTCAACTCTCAACGTGACAGTGGCTTGTAAACACATTTTAATTTATTTTGTAGAGATACATATAAAACTTGTATGACTTATGAAGAGGAGGTGTCGAGAGTAACCGCAATGGACTTGCAGATATGTCAATTTGAACACTGAAATTGGGGGCTTCCGTTTTCCTCATGCTCAAAAGAAATCGAAGAATAAGTGCTGGCATTCTCACTGTCATTCGACCCCTATGGAATTGAGCCTTGATGGAAATCCTAAACAAATATTTTTTAACATTTGAACGAAGCACATGAACTATGTTCCAGTGGATTATTGGCTTTTGGTGAAACCCACAACCGAGGCTATTATCGTAGCAGTGATTGACTAGAGGTAGCAGATAGATGATTTACTACTTATACGAACTTATTTCCCTAATGACAAAAAAACCGCAGCTTTAGAGACTGCCAACCTTCATAACAGGGCCACTAATAAGAAAAAACAAGGAAGCCTTCAGGAATGATATTTCATTTGTTTCTTAAAGGCCAACCACAACATCCTTCCCCTTCAGTGTAAATATTCACCATTGGAATATAACTTGGGCAACTGGAGACAAAGAGGCTAAAAATAGACCCATAGCCAAAGCGAGAAGGAGACAAAGAAATGCGTCGGTGTATGAATTAGTGTGCGAGAAAGTGAAAAGGGCGTGTCTAGTCTTGGGGAAGAAGGGGGAGAGCTGAAAGGAAAGCATGTGCAGCAGAAATAGTCGTACGCAAACAAAAGTGACGGAGGAGGCGATTAATGATAGAGCTAGTGACTAATCTCTATCTCCCCCCCCCCTCCCCTCCTCACCACCACTAAACATCCACGAAGGCTAGGCACAAGGCATGCAAGATTCCAGCGCGCATTTACGGCCCTTCGCTCGCTCACTCACTCTCTCTCGTAACACCTTGAATCAATCTTTCGAATTGCGTGATACATATCCCGTGGCTGTCTTCATACTCGGTTTGGCCAACAAGGCAGCAATAAGTAGAAAATGAAACAGAAATAAAGAGCTCTGGAAGCTGCATAATTCAATTACGTCATGGGGCAATAAAGAGTGAGGCAATAAAAAAACAAGCATAAGAGGTGATAGAAAGGCAACCCCTCACAAAGGTGAATAAAACACACTTCCATCAGTAAAAGTTTACCAAACAGCGGCCAAGAAAACTTACCAAAGAAGTTAGGCATATGCATCGGCAAAGGATATTTCCTAGCAAAATTAAAGGCCTCCTATAGGTGCAAAAGCAGTTAAAAGGAAGTCCCTAAAAAACGAATTGTCTAGCTATGAATGTCCAAAAAGCATTTAATTACTGGCACCTCGAAACAGGTGCTGTCCATTTTTTAGGATTTGCAAAAAACCCCATAGAGGCGCGGTCTGATAGTAAGAATTGGGGCTTAAAGAAAAAGGTACTTGCTAGTAATTGGCTCATGCAGTAAAACAAATTGTCCAAAGAGCAAGGTGATAATTTTCTAGCAGGTGAGTGGTTTCATTTAATAAAACAACGACCGCAACGTAACAACAACAAGAGTCAACGACTATGAAAATATAAGGTTGATAAATTGCACAAAGGGTATCTCCGAAGCCAGGTTAAACTTGAAATGTGGTGATTTGAATGGATCCGGGTTAATCAGGTGTGACCAACAAGGAAAATCCAATGCCTTTTTGCCATAACAATAACACTAAAAGTAACTGTGAGAATTCAAATTTATTGCCATTCGTCTGACGTGAGCTAAAACATATTTCATGAAATGGTATCCAAGCCAAAGGTCCTATTCGTGCCTCCGATCTCAAACTCATTTAAAAGATGAAGTTAAATGAATTTGCTCTTCTAACTCACCTATTTACATTTACTGCATTAGGAGGGAGACTACGGTGAATGGAATTATTTGAAAAGCTAAAGAAAGATTGAAGAGATTCCATTGTAGAAGGTTTATGCGTTACGGAAGAAATCTGCGCATAATCGCCAATGAATTCCGCACATTGCATAGTCATGCCCCCTCCCCCCCCGCCCCAGGTTAATTATATGACCTGTGATTAAGCAAGACCGGGAAGTGCGGGATCGCGAGAACAAAAAAATTAGAGGTATGGGAAATGAGCGGATCAGCCAAATGTGCGCGCGAATCCCAGAGAGAGATGAATCATCATCCTAGAGGCGCGTAAGATATGAGAGGAAGGAGATTGCGCTGTGCAGCAATGTTGGTAAATTTTGTATAAATATGTGCAGCGACGATTCACATTTTTGTTGCTGATGTTGATCATTGGAATGGCCACGGCTATATGGCAATCCCTCTATCCACGTTTGAACAGGATTCGTGCCTCAGACACTGAACTATTTCTTCGATTACTTCTCTTTCATGCTTACACAGAGTATAGTCAAGTCTCCACGCTGTTTTCTTTCAGCTGCAGATTTGAACTTTCGTAGTCTAGGTTATATAATGGGCGGAGATGGTGTAACAGAGTGCAGCTACTTAATATCAAATTCGACAGACAACTTGGGACTGTTAACAATTAGTTTGGCAAAAATAGCCCAGCTCAAAGTTAAAAGGAATTAGAACGAATTAGTGCAATAGACAGTGTGAGAGGGGAACTACTAATAATAAAATAATTAAAGCACATACTGTGAACATGTTCAAACAGGTTATGAAGGGAGGGGAGAGGAAGCACAGACTTGTACAGACATGATCTCTCTATCACCATGGCTTATGGCAGTATCGGCTTTATAGAGCATTAGCCGTGTAACGTGAAGGTGTGCCATGAAAACGACTGTGTTTAATTACTTCGAAGAAGCGCTAAAAACAACGCATTCACTCAAGTTGATTCATCTAAGCAATACAAATAACACCAGATGAGATCGATTTAAATGGAACCGAAATGTAAGCATTAAAAAGATTATGGGAACCGAAAAATACAAGAGGATAATGAAGACAATGTGGTTTGTTGCATTAAAAGCGGTCTCTCGTTTTTCGTTCTACCCCCCCCCCCCTTTTACTATATTTCTTTTGACCTTGTCATAAATATAGGCCAGTTTTTGTGCCCTAGTTAATTCCCTTGTGCAGTCATAGCAGGATTGTTTATCAAAAAGGAAATTAAAAAAACCACGACACTGCACTTTGAAGGGTTGGACCCTGTCAAATGGCCCTGAAGTGCAGTAAAGAGCGTTTTACTCAGGCATCTCCACTTCGACAGGCTATGCCAGAAAGATGAAGAGGCGTAAATATAAAACAAAGTACTTCTTTGCGAGTTTAGAAACAAAGAGAAGCAGAAACGAAAATGTGCCTGGAACGTCCTATACGACGACCAAACAGAAAGTTGGCGTTGTGGAAGAAGACGAGACATAGATGAAAAGTCAAAAATAGGCAAGCGTACCATCATTTCGGATATCCGAATCGAGCATCTTGGCGAGACCGAAGTCGGCGACCTTAACGGAGTTGTCACGGTCCACGAGAATGTTGGCCGCACGCAGGTCACGATGTACGAAGTTCATCTCTTCCAGGTACGCCATGCCCTCAGCAACCTGAAATAACACATAAAGAAGAAATTGAGAAGCGGATAAATATAGGTTAAGCTAAACTAGCATATTTCAATGTGCCAATACAAAGAGGACAAGAACAAGATTAAGCACTGAATCGAAATTTTACAACTATAAACGAGAACTCCTATCTGTGGAAAAACTCGATACGTGGGATTAGGGGAAAGACGTCAGCAGCCTTGCAAAGCTATCTTTAAAGGTGATTCGTACCCAATCTAACATCAGCATAAACCAAGACCTTAGGATATGTGGGTACTGCAACCATTCTGCTCTCTTACTCTAAACGACCGAAAAATGTACGCATTACCCTCCACTATCCCTCACGGTGGTCATAATACTTTGAAGACAACACCTTAGAAAAATAAGGAAGTGATCATAGAAGCATTTTCAACAGGTTTGGTACCTATAGACACGAAAGAAATTAATAGAAAGATAAAACAATGGCTTACTGTAAAGTATCGAATCTACGTCAACACGAGGTCAATCGTGACGTGTCACCAATCGGTCTGTTTTCTGACCAAACGTAACAAAGGTAAAATAAGTTGATGGTTAGGGATTACAACTTTTATTCTACATTCACAGTAGAGGCTGTTAATATCAATATCTCATGATAGAAGGCAATAACCCCATAAAATGGATTTCCCTAATCACAAGATTTCGAAATAGTTTCCAAAAATTGAGCTGACTTTTAGTTGAATTGTCAGGCAACGCTTTCTGTTCGACCATTTTTTAGAAACTTACTTACTTAATATGGATCTCTATATACGGCAATTCGGTTATTTTTCATGACGAGACGAAAAAATTTTTGCAGCTTTTATTCATGGGGAAGTGACAAAACAATCAAATTTGAGGGAGAATAGAGACAGTAGGCGAGGACCGACTCGTTATTTCTGAAATGTGACTAAATCAAACTGAAACAATTCATCCCGGAAAAAAATAGGTTCTATTGCGTAAGAGTGTTGAATTTCGCTCAACACCGCCACGTCCATTTTAGACGAAATGGTGTGATGTAGGATGGTGACTCGTCGTCTTTCTCGGCAGCTGTGTTGTTTTTATTCACACACACCCATAAACACACAATGATAATTTTAGCAAGTTGGACAACGCACTGCCAACTGTGTTAGGGATATTGCTTAAAATTTCAACTAGCCACTGTAGTCAATATGCCAACATAATAAAGATTACATTTACATGAATAACGTGATAGGTTAAATGCATCAATAACAATGCACCTATATATTAGAGTGGTTTGCATTATGAAATTGCAATAAAGCTGATTACATCGGTGTGTTCTAAACTAGAAAATGCATGATCAGACAAAGCAATGTCGTATGCTTGATATTTTTTAAATAAAACGAATCTCCGCGATTTAGATATATCAGAGGCATTGACTCGCATAGGTTTGAATAAACATTTGATGAATAAGATAAATAAATGGAAGCAAACATTTCAACCTAATCAGGAGTTTACCTCATTGAAAACTCACTGCAATATATCCGATGTTTGCTTACATAAAACGATTTTCTATTTATACGCGTCAATGACCACACGAGATCATAGTTATCCGAGCTTGTCAGCGTAACTACCAACGCCAACGTTTCATAACCGCTTCTGTCTGACACTAACAAAATCAATAAACAACCAATAAACCAATTAATACGAGATCTCTGCAATGCAGTGGCTTTAATTCCTCATTGAAATATTGAAGTCAATCTGCAATGGAAGTGTATGTTTTCCATATATATTTAATTCTCTGCACGTTAGATGATTCCCATAGTGGTTTACAATAGAAATGTTGTTTTCAAATAGCCTAATTATACGTGTTGACCTTAAGTTCTCTTACAATATTTTAGCATCATCATCAAGGCCATATGGTTGCTGTTTCCCTCCCACCTGACACAAATCCCCAGAAACGAGCATAATATAAAAATGCTGAATTGTAGCTACAAAATCCCTTACAAGTATACCGATTAACCAACTGTGGCCCATCTTTATCATTAGAATAAGGTAGTTTCGCAGAAATTTCCAATTCATCCAAGTGTTATTGGTGAATGGACATTTTCCAATCCTGACTGAACAAAGCTTCACAGAAGAATAAGGTACTTGCATACATAAAAAATCAAGACAGAGGGTGTTGAGGTTTTGACAAAAATTGTCCAAGTCATGCAATATTGAAATGATCGTGGAATAATAAATAAGATCATATGAAATAGAATATGAAAAAAATCTAAAGCTATATTCATTGTAAAATGTATATACATATATACATATTGCACTGATTTTCTCAAGATTTACCTGATACAAGACCACTTAGATTCATTCAGCACCCACTGAACCTAAGTCTATTTATATTTAAACGTGAATCATAACTGTGTACACCTATATGATGTTGTGAAACAAGCAGAAGTAGCAAAGTTAATTGTGTGAAATTGAGATCGCAAAGTGACAGATCACGTAAAGACTGAATAGAGGGCTGTAAATTCGGATCTTCCGGTGTGCATTTAATATCTCATTACTATGACCTTGGGAATCTGATCAGAGTGCAGTTAGATAAAAAAGGCGGACATATTGATGAAAAGGACTTTAACCTGCTTAACACTACATTAAGATGTGAAGAAAAAAATATTAAAAATCAAAGACTTAATGGTTAAATAAACGTTAGATAAGTTTCTTTATTCCTCGATATTTCGCATTGGCCTTTTATTAGGAATTGATGTAAACAATAATTATCAACTCTAGAAAGAAGTGTAATCGAAGAGTGAAAAACCTGAAGTCCGCCATTCGTCCACACCCCTTTGCAGAAAAGTAAGGAGGCCGCGAAGTCTTACCCCCCCCCCCCCCCCAATACTAAAATAATCCAAATCTAAGTAAGCCAATACTGAATAACCAACAGGGCAGCGAACTGTCCAAGCAGAGTCCAACCTAGACGTAAACGAAGGAAATATTCATTTTCAGAATTTTAATATTCAATCACTTTTTAAATGGTTATAAAGATTAAGAACTAGAAAAATCTGCTTAGGTGAACATCAGATAAGATGCTTAAAACTGTCGAACTCCCAACAAGCCGCTCTAAAAACACTAGGATCGAGATGACAAGTATGGCATTACACAACACATAAACAAAAAACGAGATGATTTATGCACACATTACAACTAAGTACAAGAAATGGCATATTCCAGCATACCTGAGCGATCATATCAATCAGATCAGAGAGACCCAGTTGTTTGCCCTCATCCGAAGCGAGGAAAGTCCTCAGTGCACCTTTTTCCATGAGTTCTGTGATGATAAAGACCGGTTCATCCGCAGGTTCAGTGCAAACACCCAGAAGTCGCACAATACGCCGATGATGAAGTCGATGCATAACACGTGCCTCCTCGATGAATTGCGCAAGATCTGTAGTGGCCAGACGCTTTTTGACGGCAACATCAAAGGTCTTGTTGAATCTAGCTCGATAAACCATACCAAAGGAGCCATTTCCCAACTCGCAGATGAATTCGAGACTACGGCGGTTGGCTTCAATGTCACGGAACTGCACCGGTGGGGTATATTGGCGAGGACAGGGTTGAGTGAGAACACAGCAAAGACCATCACTTGTGGCTGCAAATACAAATCAGAGAGCTAGACAAAAGGGCATTTGAACAGTTCATTAGTCTAATTGCCATATCACATTCTAGAACTTTTTTCATTAGATCTTCTTAAACGTTTATAAGACTTCAAGCGAAAGATCCCGATTCCCAGAGTAATGGTTAAAACTTGTGTAGCGATAATAGTAAGAACTGAAGGAAACGACAGCCTTTCCCAAAGTAGAAAACTAAGAACTTGGTCAGACCACTGATGCAGTGGACGATCTAGATAGAAAAGGGAGTAAGAGGAAGAGTGGAAGGAAATAGATGAGCTGGATATACGCATCTTAAGAACCTAGAATTGAGATTCCAAAACATTTACCATCGTTCGCTCTACCAACATAAACTAGCGACGGTGGTCTTCCTTCTATCCGACATACATCAATGAAGATGGAATGCACAAGTAAGACTTAGTGCCCATTTAACGTACCTCAAGCACGTAAATTTATCGTGTACATTAACGATAAGTAAGAGCTTAATTCGAGTGAAAAACTCACATGTTTGTTCAAGATTGAAGAAAATGTAATGCTGCACTACCATCCAGAATGACAGTTTATGGACACTACTTGAATGGTCTCGATTAAAAAAACCCAATACAAAGTAGCTCAATGTGGGGTATGAAGTGGATGTGGAAAAATTATTTTAGCGAAACAAACGAGGAGCACATACTACTTTTAGGTTGGGAACAGAGAAGAATAATAAGACCCCTTCTCAAGGATACCACTTAAAATTATGAAGCATCTCAGTTTTAGTGAAATCATGGGACGTGGCTTCGATACTCATCGACGTCCATCAAGTGAACATGTCCACCGATGTTGGGTAAAAGGCCTAAACGAGGGGTAACGAAATGTGAATTTATAAACAAGTTTCCAATCATTTGAAAGCAATGAGAAAAAGTCAGTGTATTAACAAAATCAATTAGAAATAAAAAGGAAAGGGGTCCATTTCCAAGATTTTCAAAAATTTAGCTACATATCAGCGACACTCATCCGAGGTACGGTAAATAGGTGTGGGAAGAATTTAAAATGCGAAAATAAACACTTTGGAAGTCAATTGACCAACTTATTTTAGAATAAGAGAGATTAAGAAAAAAATAGTTTTTTATCACATTTCTACACCATTTTAATATTCAATTTGCACAAAAGGAATAAGTAAATAAACAACAGGTGAGTACTTCATATTGTAAAGAACCGAGAGTACATATTCAAGCACAAGTAAAAAAATAAACTGATAAATAACAAATCTATGGTTTGAACAAATCTGATCCACAGAAAAGCTAAATCTCATTAAACATAGCAAAAAGCAATGGGAATCACTTAAAGTTGGTAATTCTATTTAACAGCATATGGGAAAGCACTAATTAGGGGCTCTTAATCTAATTCCTTCGAGGTGAAATATGGGTTTTCTAAGGATTCGGAAAGTAAGTGAAAAAGAGCGGCGATAAGAAGAACAGCTAAACATACACATAATTATTACTAGGACAGTTTAATAATGGGTTTTTTAAGTTAATGTGTAACTTCTAATTGAACTAAGTGTACGCTGGCCACTGAAACATTTGAAATTTATGACGAAAATACTATTAATAACGATCAAGCTCACTTATGAAAATTTTAAAAAATTTACATGGGATAAATAAATAGCATTGCAAAACCAATACGATCACTAGATAGGCACACTTGACCCCTAACCTCGAGTAAAGTTGACCGAGAAGCATTTTTGTGAAGAACGTGTACTGAATGATTGTATATAATATGTAAACTTCAAAAACAAATACATCATATTGTTAATTTTAAAGTGGTTAAGGCACTGCTGTCAAAGAAGCAATACCATTAACACATACGCACACACACACCCATGAAAGATTGAACTCCGAAAATGTGAACGACAAAGTAAAGTGGGAAAAGAAACTCACTTTGATAGTGTGCAATGAGATCTGCTACAGTCGCAAAATTAGTTCGAGTGGTGATATAGAAACCAGCTCCGTTATCCCGGGTTTTAACCTTGTAGTGCTTTATCGCATACATATTTCTATCAATTTCAAAACGGATTGAGAGTGCGTAGCTTCGGTAATCTGCAAATAAGTAAGGATAAAACAGTTATGCACTTTGACCCTCTTGGATAGAATGCCCAGAAACTAAAACGAAACTTGCCAGAAGAGGGTCGAAGGATATAGGTACCTTGAGGTAGACCGGGCATAAGAAGCATTCTTTCAGAATCTTTTCGAGATATCTCATACCAAGCTTCCATTTGGTTAGAGAGACCATTTTCAACAGCAACATAGTTGCTAGGGATATAGCCATGTTGGCCGGTTTTTAAGTGACGAGCTAACCACCAGGCTTCTGAGAGGCCGGATTCGACAAGCATGACATCGCCTTTCTGGAAGCTCAAATCATCAGCATTTTGGGCTACATAGGTATAGAGAGCATGCACACGAACAGCTCGAGACGACTGTTCTGCCAATTGTTGATCTAAGGGGGCGGGTTGTTGAGTTGGACCATAAACATAGGAGCCTGCTTGCTGTTGTCCATTTTGTACAGTGTAAACATTCATGGCATATTGTTTGGAGGATTGATGTGCCCCGCGAGATAATGGCACAATGGCATTCTGATTGGTAGCTAGGGGAATGGCCTCACCCCGAGGACCATAATTTCGTAAATAGGCGGGCTGGCCATGGGGTTGACCTCCGCCTTGAGCGTTTCTATTCATTTGTGTCATACCGTCATCATGTTGTTGTAAATTCCCTTTGTTATTACATGTTAGACAATTTCCCATCTCGAGGTTAAAATCTCACGAAGGCATCAATGTGGTCAAACTAAGCGAAAAATATACTATAGAATTAAAGATTATTATATAAAATTCATATAAGCACGATTAAAGGCAAAATATATTGCTAAAATGATAAATCTAGTTGGGATCTATATTAATGTAATTTTAAAGACAATTGGTTCATAGAAAAGGATAAAGCACCAAAAAGTTACACACCAAACAAAGATAGAAAATTGTATTAAGCACGATTCACCAGCGCAGATAAACAAACCGCAGCCATTTTAATAAACAAAAACTTTTGAGGCATTAAAATTGCTTTATAAAGTACCGTAAATTATTTTATTTGCAACTATCTTCCACATGCGTTATCCTTAAACATTTAAATAGAGTTACTTTCACTCTACTGCAGCACTCTAACTAAAATATATAAATATATATTTATTTGTTTATATTTACTTATAGCATAACATCTTATTACATATAATGTTGGGATTTACAATTAACTATGGTATTTTTTCTTCTGAATTGGTGACCCAATTCAGTACATTGGATGTTACCATACATAATACCATATAAATAGCTAAAATATGAAATAGACTGATCCTTCGACCAGAGGAAGATACCTGGTCTCATTATGCAAAGATAAATTATAATATCACCAAAACACCAAAGACAGTCAAATTTACTGCTCCGTTCTTTACCCTCTATGCTTCATTCTCAGATGATAAAAATGCAATTCATCGACATTATAGATCGTCTAGAGATATATCAGCACTACCTAGACTTAGGTTATATATGCAACTGTGGAAAAGTATATTTGGTTCAAAATTTTAACCTATGGAATTTGAAGTATGCGGCGTAATGGGCTCAAGATACGTAGCAACCGACATTAATTATAGGTACTTTGAGTTACCTTAGGGCCACTTAATGAATACGAGCGCTTGCACCGCCCTCTAACATAATCTATTGATTTTCTTCTCGATTGGGTAGTAGTATTAAACTAAGAAGAGCATATTCTTTGTTTGAGCTGAGATAAGTGATACAACTCAAATTTCATTTTGACCATCTAAAATATCTCTTTTCTTCCTTAAGAACCTCTGATTATCCTTACTTACATCATTTGTCCCACTTTAAATAACGAGAATTACTATGCTCACGACAAAGTGCTCAAACATAACGAAACAAGACAAACCGGTTCCATTAGACTCAAATATATTAAGGATAATGTATACACACATTTTAGATGATAGAATTTAATCGTCCATGTATTTCATTTCTATCCATACACTTAATTACAGTTCTACGTACATACATAAAGAATAAGTAGAGGAAACTGAAGAAAGGTCAAACGAAGGCCAAGGAAATGCTAAAGAGGATAGAAAAAAGTGCTGAGCACCAGACAGCTTATACAGAATATTGCCTCAAACCCGTTTGAGAACAAGAAAGAAAAGAAGAATGTCGAGATGGAGAAAACGAAACACAGAAGTCGATCCCACTTCATTGTCAATTGTTATTGATCACTGTGCCTACATTTACAACCTAATTAAGAGTTCAATCTGATGAAGTAAGAGTTACATATGAAAAAAATCAATAATTATTAGCTGTCAGATTTAGTCGGGAGGAGAGGAAGGAGGCGTCTTAGAGAAAACTTAGTTAATACGTCGATCAGAGGTAAGGAAGAGATGTGATACAATTACGTTTGGAGTTTTAAGAGAGAATTTACAATGAGGGTTTTTTTAGCAAATTTTTTCGGTCTTCAATTGTTGCTTCACCGGATTTGGCCAAATAAGTTGAATGCTGATGAAATAGGCTGGAATGTAAGAGACAAACAAAACCGTTAGCAGATATCATTCTCCAATAGAAATTTTACAGTATTTACATAGGAATTAATGACGAAAGTATAGAGTGGTAAATTTTATAACCAAAGCCAAATTCTTGGAAAAAATTCCAGAGTAATTCAGAGCTTATGCATGACTTTTGCCATGTGAAATAACTAAGACTCGAGATACCTGTAAGGGAGAATTATAACCTTAACTAAATAACTTGTAATTTGGGATATTGATAAAACAATAGCCATTCATAGCAACTTCTCCAAAAACTTTAGCTTCAACAAATAGCAAAAAAAACTTGCAAAAAGTGGCTGTATATAAAAGATGAAAAGTGTGAGATAAAGTGTAGAGAAGAAAAAAAAGTTAAGAAAGAATGACGCTTACTTTAGGTGATTTGCAGCGACAAAAGACATTCCAGAAGCGTAGAGTCTCATCCCCAGCTCCAGTCACAATATTTTCCCCATCGGGTGAGACAGCAAGATAAAGGACACGCGAGGTGTGACCGGTGAGTTTGGCCAATTGACGCAGATTGGGATACTGCCAAACCAGAATTTGATTCTGTGAGTAGCCGTGTGTACTTACCAATTCATTGGTATGCTCCGACCAGGCAAGATTGCATACCTAAAATTAGTAGGGGATCCAACAGTAGCTTGACATAATGCATCGACCGACCAATAGTGGCCTTTAAGGCCTTCATACTAACAACCTATTCTGTCTAAATTGGATTCATATAGTACATACATTGTGACCTACTCAGACTTAATACAGAAGAATATACACCGAGCCATTCGACCGTAAGCAAATGAAAATGATTTATTTATTGAATTATCTGTACCGGTCGCATAAATTCTAAACAATATGCATGAAAACCTCGCTGCACAACCAATGCACGACAAATCGTAAGGAGTTCCTCAAATAGCAATACTAGGAAAGCGTTCGTCAATGAGTATCTTGGTAAAAGAGGGACATAATCGACCTTCATTGATAGGACTTAACGAGAATACTTTCCCTAGGCGCTTCTTGAATTCGTAAGTAAGAGAGTTAAATGGCCATAATTGATTGCACGAGTACAACTACTCAATGCTGGTGACAATACCAGCACATAGGTGAAATGAAAAAATGTAATGGATAGAAAGTCAAGAAATTACATCCGACCCACGCAAAATCTAAAGGATCAGGGATGAAATAACGAACGAAATTATTTGAGAACATTAAGTATTCCCAACTCCCACACTTTAACCCACCCACCCACACACACGCACACACACACACTCTCTCGCTCCCTTTCTCCTCTTACCTGTGTTGATGTTCACATGTACCGCAATTTTCTTCACAATCAGATTTAAATCTCAAGCCGACAAATTCATACATATCAGGATAAGAGATATAACCTAGCCAGAGTTCACAGTAAAGTAAATGATCACATTTGAAGAGGAATGAATGCCGCAGGCTAGCTACGACCTAAAATCATTTTTATCTAAATGAAAGAGATGTTCCTTCATTACATATGTCGAGTAATAGCCATTTCGAAGCTCATACGATGACAAACTTTCCTTCCCCAATTTTAACCAGTACGACTGACTATTTCATCCACTAATTATAAATCGCAAAGTATTAAACCCAAGTGATCTCTGATTTGCGAAAGTGCATGGTTGCAAAAAAAGATACTAAAGAAGAACGCATAGCCATGAAGATATGAACCGTTATCTGGATCCAAATAAGGATAAAGCCAGAGAGATTTGGAAGATTTTTATGCATATGACGCATCATATTGAATTTCCCTTAGGCAATGGCCTCAAATCAGTAGTTAGAAGCATTAACATGACTGTTGAAAAACTAATCGAGGTAATACTAAATGGGGATTTCTCGGTCTCTTCATTGGTGAGCTGAACGCCGAATAGCACGATGAGTCACATTAAAGTTTTCTGAACAAGTCTTTGTGTGAATGCTACTCTTCAAATTCATTGGTTGCATGGACATATAAGCGCTTTGGTTCAGATCTTCGCTTGAAGGTTAGAGCCTGCGAATAATTACACTTGGTCCTCCTACTCCGAGTGCCAATTAGTTAAAAATGCAGACAATTTTATTAGAAACATGCGAACTACATTCACAGCACACGTGAATTTGAAAAAAAAGGTTAATTCATTAAATGTAATGCCAACACAACGTAGGATAAACAGCAAAACTTCGAAAAGGGGTTGCATAATTCGAAGGTAAATATGCTCGTGTAATTAGAACGCTAAAATTCACCCTAAGTCAAAGTTTGACCCAAAAAGTCTAAGCTAACTAGGCCTACGAACTGAACCGAATACAGTGACGCATCCAAGTGATGCCACTGCACAAAAAGTCTGCACTCATCTCAACACAAGGCAATGCAATGACAACCATCACGCGTTCTTCACCTTCGTAAGTAAACTAATGGGAGGGATATTAATTTGTAAGTATTGAACCCGGCTGAAAGCAAGAGCCGATCTCCCGAGTCGCTTAAGGTATGGTCAACTTCTAGCAACAAGACGGCAGTTAGTCTGAAAAAAGATTATAATTTATCTGGCCTTGAAATGATACACTTCTACCATCTCTCTCTCTCTCCCCCTCCTTCCCTATTTGGACACAAGTCAGCTGTAGTAGAGAATTTCCCATAGTGATCACTTACATAAAAGCAGGCACAACTAGGTTTTTAATAACACCAATAAGAAGTAAATTACGCACCTGGCTCTCAGTTTCGATTGAGCGTAGAGGTTGTCCCGAGAGGGTGTTCCAGAACTTGATGCATCGATCGGCGGTGCCACCTCCACTTGCCAAAAGGCCGTGATGATGCGGCGACCAAGCGATGGCCTTCACCGCTGCCACGTGCTCCTCGTAGGCCAATAAGGGTCTTGCATCGTGCGCCATATGATGACTCCACACTAAGAGACGATTGTCATTGCCACCTGATGCCAAGTATTGATTGTCTGGTGACCACTTTAGACCACAAACCTAGGAGGGAGGAATCAGACGCTAGATTAGGTTAAAATGAAGGCGAATTATAAATTGGTAGCTAATGTGAGAGTAGAAAATTGAAGAAAGAAACCTCCTAAAATTTCCGAGTTTTACTATTGCGAGGCGTGGAAGTAGGAGGGCAGAAATATTCACTTTAAAAGCTTGGCCAGGCAGTGGGGCAAAGGACACTATGAAAAAAAGTTCGGCAAGGAGGGGGGGGGGGGGGGGGGGGGGGGGGGGGGGGGNGGGGGGGGGGGGGGGGAGGGGGGGGGAGGAGGGAGAAATTCGGTAGAGGGATGAACCATGCATATAATGAAGTGAAGGGGGCAGAAAATAAGCCAAATCGCAAAGTAAATGCTAGCAACTGCCGAAACCAAAAACACAATGGGAGAAATGGGACAAACACACAGAGAATGATTTGAAACAAGACAAAAAATCACGTTTCAGTGAAACATTACACTGAAAAACGTTTACCAGACGACATCCCATCTTTAGTTAAACATCAAGATCTGGCTAACCCTATTTGGCTTTTAGAAAAGTCGGCATAGATGAATATCAAAACGTGAAATTAGAAGATTGCAGAGAACGTGAGTCCTTCGCTTTAGCAAGCCGATATTTACTACAACTGTAAATCAATCGTCCGAATTCTACCTGAACACATAAAGGACATAAACCTTTTGTTTAAATGAACAGGATAAATTCTCCCAAACAATTTTTCACACTTAATTTGAGAGAGAACTTTAATAGAACACAGATTTGATTAATAAAGATTGAAAAATGTGATCTAGAAAATTCGTAATTAACGTCAATTACCACTAGAAAATTTCATAACTTCGTAATGGACACCTTTTTGCAGATGAACTTCAACCTTAGTATTTGTAAACTAAACTAGTATTGCCCAGCTGAATGGCCACTGAACGAACAATTCTTGACTTTACACAAATATGGCATATAATTATGATGACTTTAAAAAAGAAAACTATAACCCACCTCGTTGATTTGAGCAAATGCTCAATAAAATCGTGCTGTAATAGTTAATTTTTTCCTAATCAAATAGCCCATTCCTTAGGCAAGCATTAACCATCGCATGGGTAAGCGCTTTTCTCAAATGGACTTGAACATTTAGATGAATAAGATTAGCCCATTTGATTAGAAATGAAAGAGAGGTTGGACTAATATTAGTCGATTTTTGGTACTCATAATAGCACTTACCTCAACTAAATGACTAGTTAATATGTCTTAACAAAATGTCACAAAATGGGGTTATAGTGATTTCTTCAAATCTGAATATATAATTGTGAGCTATAATTGACTTGAGTTTAGGCTAAACATGCACGATAGAGGTATTTAATTTCATTCCAATTTGGCAAAAAAAGCAGCGTTCGCTTTCCGATTTGCCACTACTTTAAATGAAATATAAGCCTAATGTGCCACCGGTCTCCTCCACCCACTACTGATTGAAAAAAAGCACAAATAATTGGAAATCGCATAACCGATCACGGAATTAAATCAAGTGGCCAATAAGATTGGAGCATTGTGGCAATAAGCTCACGTATGCATCAGGAATTCAAATAATTAAATTTAAACACTTGTACGTAGCCTAATGAGTCATAAACCTTATGCTAATACAGCACCTTTATGATTTCAAAATTCCAAGAAAGTAAGCTTTCTGATAACCACCAGAGTTCATCCCCCACTCCCAATTGGTCCCTTCTAAATGAATACCTTATTTGGGTCGGCAATAGTGACTATAGATCCCAAGGATCGCTTTATGTTGATATAAGTAAGCGATATATGGCCTACAGATAATAATAATAATTCAATATATAGTGAATGAAGAAAACTAGCCCTATTAAAAAAATAACATTTCGCTCGGGTGATGCTATGGTAGATGAGGAACTCCACCCGTTTAATCACGGTTTGTGGATCTCAATCAGTTGAAAAATTATGCAAAGAATGCGTATTGCAAATAATTATTTAGCTTAATGCCACTTAACGCAAGCATACACATTGGACATTCACAATCCAACTGCAGGAATTAATCTCTGCGTGGATTCAAATGTTTCCACCTTCTTGAAGTCTAGACAACAAAAAAGATTAGACAAATTAAATGCCACTTCAAACCAAACCAAGCTAAGCCTAACCGGTAAATTGTAAGGAAAATCAACGACATTCAATTTAATGCCTAATATAAACTCATATAACTCAGGTAAATTGACATCTATTTGATTTAATTTTGAAACACAAATGAAGACGGCCTCTCGTAAAAACACGATATAACATGACTTAGAATATGCCATTGCAATTAGAAAGAGCTTGATGGAATATTTCTCTGTGCACCAATAAATGCTCCAAATTATAGACTTCGATAAAGGGTCACCTTCAGGCAGATATTTTCATGACGATGCGTATCTCTCTTCCATTAAGTATTCCATAGACCTGTTCTAAATACATGCATAAGTTGTAAAAGCATGCATTTCAATAGTTATTAGTTAATTTTGTTCAATCACTATAGATAACAAATTGGTTATTTATCTTACTAGTGATCTCATGGTTAAACAGTGAATAAGTCCAAGCATTAATCATTCAACTTTATTTCAATGACCTTTTGTAGTACCCATCTTAAGTAAAAATGGTGACATTTTAAAGTCCATCACCGCTTTTCATACCTATTCCTAATCAGCTGCTGAGTTTTCACCGATGGACACTGAACCCCTGACCAGAGATACAACCCCCCCCNCCCCCCCCCCCCCCCCCCCCCCCCCAACTCCGAACAAAGAGATTACGCAAATATTTTGCACTAGATTCGAAAGCCAATCTTTGGTCGAGCATAAATTTTCTCAACTCTAAAGCCTTATTTAAAATTCAAGCACGTACTTTGCTTGCACTTCAAAGTGTCACTTTAGATGAAACAAATTAGTAAATACAGGGTCTTAACAAAGCAGTATAGACAACAATTGTCTTCTCCAAACAGGGGGTACAATATTGGTTGAGTAAAACGAGGGGAGTGCATATTTCAGCACGTGCCAACACGCTTATAGTAAAAATCCATACAGTGGCCTGAAAGTAAACACACATGGACACATATTTTCAAAAGTGGACCCAAAAAAGTGCACATATAAAAAGCAAAGTGCAAAGCACCAAATAAATCGAAAACCTTCCGAAAGAAACGTTAACTCTACACAATAATTGCCATCTAAATGTTCGAAGATTTGACGAAATATATGCAAAAGACACAAACTTCATCCACATCTCAAATTCCACATCTACATGGAATGGATCCAAAGTTGGCAAGAAAGAGGCTACGAATATCGTCCTCGATATTAGAATTACCGCTGTCCAGTATAGTTTTCTACCCTGAAGCAAGGCAGTGTGGAATTAAAATTAAAAATAGAGGGAAAACAGGCCACCCTTTCTACTCTTGCTAGGCAAATCTTACATTTACAACATGTTTGCCAAACACAGCATTCCCCTCTCAAAGCAATAATGCTCCAACCTAGGGTCATTGAAAAAGTATGGCAAAGAGTAAACCTTCAAGTGCCATTCTCTTCATACAAAATGCCAGTACCTAATTCTGAGCAAACGAAGCCTGAATTTCGAGATCGAAAAGAGTGCATTAAAAATAATGAACGACATCACTGTCACTTGCTGTCTAAAAGCTACTACTGAAATTAAATCTGATTCTGTAATAGATAACTCATATAAAACAGGTGGAAGCCTCCACACTCCAATGCAGCTTCACCTTTGACAAGGGGAGTGAAGTAGGCAATGGTGGAGTAAAATTAACAAATCTTAATGGAAGGAAATAAACTGCATTTGAAACAGCATGTGGAAAGGAGTAGGACTCTAATTACCCAATTCTCCTATTTGTTTGGGGTCATATAAATATAAGGAGAAAAAAAATTAACCAGAACGAGGTGAGAGAACATGGACTTACCTCCTGTTTGTGATCTTTGAGAACGCGTACGGCTCCGGGACAAGTGAATCCCGGGTCCGCAAAGGCAAGATCTGTGGAAGGAGCCACAGCAAGTGGAGCAAAAGTGGACCCTACAGATCCTCCAAATGACCCACGGGCAGAGTTCGATAACAACTCCCGATCAATGCTGAAGAGGGAATAGGGGCCACCGGTTTTGAGGTGATTGCTTGCAGTACTGGAACTAGTAGCTGTTAAGGAAGTCTGATTGCTGGGTGCTGAAGTGCCTCCTCCAGACACTGAATCAGCACGCACATCACGTAGGAGAATCTGACGATCTCGAGAACCTGAAGCAAGGAGATCGCCATTCCAAGCTAGGGCTCCTACTCGTGCCACATGACCGTCTAAGCGACGAATACACTGGGTGGTTTCTACGTCCCAGATTAGCACTCGACCACGGTATGTCGCCACTGCCAGGTTTGTGCCCTGTAAATAAACAAAAGATATTCATATATTTGGAATTCATATTTACATTCACGATCGAAATTTGGAATATCAAATCGTATCAATTAATAGTAAACAACAGGGGGAAAGATAAAAGAGAGCCTCTCAATCAAATATTCAATGATATTCCGTTTAGTATCCACCTGTAGTTACCTAAATTAACTCTTTGTGCGAAAATTTAGATTCACCCTTTTGATTAGATATGATTTCAGTACCGTTTTGGACAAACATACCACCTTCACTCACAGAAGCCATGGCTTCGAGAGGTTAGTTTTCATTTTTAGCAAGGTCTCCCAAAAAGGAACTCCTCAGTCAGACCTTTAAACTTTTCATCTGGAAGGGATAAATTTAAAGGTCTCATGAGAAAGAAATGCATTTGGTAGGTAAAAAATTTTTTGGATTTAAAAGAAATTCAAGATACAAGTAAACTACACTACTGTTACGGAGTCATTTGTAAAATAACTACTATTGGCATTATTTCAGCTTCAATCCAGCCCCTAGAATCTAACAGAAGCTGATTCTACGCCTTCCTTGAGAATGGTCACAATAATCACTCAAATTCAGTCCATTAACTGGTTGGCATTTATAGTACTGGTAGGGCGACTGGAGCCCGCTTCCACAGAGACCAAAACAAAACAGACCATCGAATTTGGACCTGATGTGTTGAAGGAAAATAGCCCATTATTGGCTATGATCGTTCGTTAACCAGGGTTGAACTACTACGCTGATCAGCAATTCCATGTAGGCATATGGAAGCAACCCTAGCAGCTCTTAAAAACACTGCGAAAGGAACCATCATATCACACCACAAAACTCCGTGGCGGATGAGGACACAAATTCGAAAACCACTACCGTTTGGGGAAATTAACTCCAATGGTCTGTGTACAAAACAGATTCTTTGCCTTTGCCAAACGACTTTCGTAAATCTTTGGCAAGAGGAGTTGCCACATTCAACGCTTGTGTGAGTAGCAGTGCAAATCTTCAATGAGTACAGGTCTCGTGGTGGTGGCTGAAACATTCACTGACCTGCAACAAAGACAGAATTGCGATGCCATGCTGCATGTTATTATGCTTTCTTCGAGCCAAAACAGCCTCGTAGTCTCAATTGTTTTAAGTATTCAGGGAATTTTGACTAGCCACTATAAACTAATTTTGATGGCTGCAGCGAAACGTCATGAAGCCAGATATTATTTTCTATGATTCAGATGAGTTAGCTTTCCATTTTTTTAGTTTTCGCGTAAATGAATGTATGATTCAAATTTTTAAGGGAAGTGTAATGCGTATAAACTTCATTAACAGGTCTGAAAAATGCAACCAAATATTATTCTGCAAAATTTAGCCCAAATTCCCCGTATATGGCATACTAATCGGAATAGTCGGTGTACAACTGTTAAGCCTCCAGGTCGAAAGGAAATATGGTCCAAGGATTTTTTCATTTGATTTTTAATAACTTTTTTTTCCTCTTGTTCTAGGAATTGATATTTCACTTGACAACATGTAAAATTAGACATAAAATAAGGAAAAGAAACTCTCCCTTCGCCTTCTGTTTACAATAATCTTTAAATAAACGGCATTAAGCAACACTTGCGTTAAGAAGGAATGTATTGTGAGGCTATTTTTATAAGAAACTAGCATTCTATCACCTCTCCTATTGATAACAACTGAGGTCAGCCATTAGCATCACCGAATGCTCATATAAAATTTGAGTGAAAGAGCTATCCAAGCTTAGTATCAGCGTTTAACATGGATATGCGCTCTTCCAGGGGGATGGTAGCTCACTTCATTGGATTGACACCGGTGATTTTGAATTTAAAAAATGTTCAAGTTGACGACTGCAACAACGACGACGCACAAGTCCATTGGAGAGAAATTCAGCCAGTATTAACCAGAACGTAATTGGTCACAATAATCATTATAAATCACGCTAATTTATACCAATAAGCTCTTAGGACTACACTTAATCAGTCAACTACAAAAAATTGTCGTATAAATGAGCAAGTTCATTTCTCCGGCCAATAAATCGACTCATATAACAAGTGAAACTCATCTTGAAACACTCATGCATGCAACTTTTAACAAGCAGCAAAGAATGCTTAAGCTATGCTCCTAATCACTCTTAGCGTTATATACTGCCTAAGAAACAGTGCCCTATGGAATTTACAAATATATTTAAAAAGTGATAATATTTATTAACATTAGAAGGATTCTAATATTCATCTAAAGGCAACTTTTATTGAGTGGAAAAGATCAAATATATGCAGATTATAAGTCTCACCCATTAGCATCGCTCAGTAACACAAGTAGAAATGTGCTATTAGGCCTGAGGCACTGTGACAATTCTTCGAGACAACGAGTATTCTTAAACATTGAGAGTGGCATCACTACGGACTCACCTTTTTGGTCCAAGATACAGAAGAGATGGCATCCGTTTCATCCGAGAAGTCACAAAGTCGTGTAACTTGACTTGTGTAGGCATTCCACAGATAAACACTAGCACCCAAACCTACGGCAAGAATATTTTGAGAAGACCAATCGACCAAGTTGAGATAAAAATCATCTTGTAAGTCAGGAGCATCGAGCACCTTATAAGGCATCCGCGAGATATATCGAGAGAACTAAAAGGAATGGGGCGCATACATTAACCACATATCAACCATTTATTTTGATGAGCAATATAAAAACTCACCTTCTGAGGAGATTGTAGTAATCTTTGACTTTTTTCTGATACAGGAGATAGGGAATATGGAGAAGATTTCAATTTAGAAGGACTTTCCTTTCGATATTTGTACTAAAAATAGAAATTGATGAGTATAGAAAGGCTTACTGAAAAAAGATTGCTATTTTCTCTTGGAGCGAAAACTGGGAGTTCATTCGGAAACGGTCCTGGCGCATTTGGAGTAATTGAAGAATCAATATTTTCAGTAAGCTCATTGTGAACAAGGGTGGATAATATGGCTCCTTGGGAGGGTTTGTTTTCATTAATGTTTGAATCGAAAATGTTGCGATTAAGAAGCGACTGATTGCTTCGTTGACTGAGTGGATTAGTACTTGATGTTCGAGAAGTTACAGTAGTTGTATTAGATGTAGATGGCCCACTTGGTGGTTGTGGAGATTTAAAAAGAGCCTTTGAAACAGAAATTGTCGGGTCTTTGAATTTCGAATTGGAACGGCTAGGCAAGTAACGATCCATGTAATTTTCCTTCGTCGGAGTTTTCATAGGACTATTAGTTTTTGAAGGCTTAAATAAATGAAAAATAAGTTTAAAGGGGAGGAGAGCGAAAAATGTGAACATATTTGACCATGATTAGATACTTTAATTAAATGGAGGTCTACGCTAGATCAAAATATACACTTTATTATTAATTTGGGCTAAATCTGACAAATATAATTTTTAATACAAGATTTATAAATAATCTCAAGAACACACACAAAACAGAATAAAGCATGCTAACCGATTTATATGGCGACCCGAGTAATCGCTTCTCATATCCATGTTCCATTTTGTCTCCAGTAGAGCCGATAAGTGATCAAAAATTTATGTGGAAACCGCCCAGTAATCTATCAGCTGATTGGTGGTTATAAATATTTTGCAAACTTTAAAGTTCTATTTATATATTTCTAAACGAAAAATAATTGAAATATCTAGACTTTACGAGATAATACTTCTATGTTGTTATAGTGGAAATATTTTAAAATTCCAATAAACTAAACCGTCAGTGAAAATTTCTTTAATCAAAAAAGCAAACATTTAGATGGATCTTCCGTTCTGAAATCAATTAAGGTTCATTATTCAATACTTCGTGCCCTTTGACATATGAAGTAGCTTAATTTATTCAATTTTCGTCTGCTAAGAAAAATATCTATTGAGTTCTTCGAAAGCTATGGCATTACTCATGTTAACTAGCCACTACATTAGACTATTGATGATTCCTGAACACGAATATCCTTTAACAGGTTGACAAAATTTTTGTTCTCTTTTGGGGATATATAATTGAACGTTTAGAAATAATAAATTTGCAATTAATCCATATAATAATGAATTTTCAGAGGTGCAATTACGAATTGGCTTGGAAAAAGATTTACAAATTAGGTAGAAATTGCATAAATTTTGCTTTCGTTTGGCTAAGTTATCTAATGTAAATTTATACCCTAATCGAACACTAGAGCACTTGTATAGGTTCATTAAATTGCAATTAATCGATTGAATATAATAAAATATGATTCAAAGTCTGTTAACCATGCACATTTCATCCCCCTTAATGAGCACATAGTTTCGGTATAAATAAAATCGAAAGATTTGAACTGTTCGAGATTTAAAGCCACGCCTTTATTTTTTATGTTATGAAATGCCGATTCCGGTCAGATTTATTATGAATGATATGTTTAGCCTCTCATTTAATGGTATAGAGTGACATTTATTTATTTATAACAAATGGCAGGCGTTTTGATAGTTATCATTAGCCTTTTGGTTGACTTTGGGCTTCACAGAGGGGAGGAGGAATATTAAAATGAGAAGAATTCGAGAGGGAGATCAGAAGAGTGAGTCACAGATGTAAAAGAAATAGACAGGCACCAATGCTCAGAAAGGGTAAGATGAGTAACGAGAAAGGGGTCGCATATGACATACAGTGGGGTGATGGTAGTTTGAAGTCAGAAGTCAACTGCCGGTTAATAGACTATTTTGCCGTATGATTATACGTTGCCCAGGGTGCACCACGAGGAGCTAAAATTCTAAGCAGACAACATAAAAGAAACCTGCTAAGGTAAGTAATTAAGATGAATTTTCACAATTAATTGATTAGATACGAGCACAAATGAAAAAAACACTGAAAAGGAAGAAAATCGCTCAAAAAACAAAGAAATAACTCTAGTGCATCATTGCAAATATGGATGGTTGATATATTATGCAAGGGTGAAGTGAGTGGTCTATGCAGCGTTTTCATTTGATCCTTGATGTATTGAAAACGATTTAATTAACTTAATTAAGATATTCCATCAGGTTAGAAACGCAGTCTCATTACCACGGATGGCATTCATTGTCCGTTCCTCAAAGTAAAAACACTCTCACTTGTTAGCATTCTAAAGCTTAGCATTTTTAATGCCATTTAACAATCTTCATGTTATTATTAACAATCAAAATTATAAATTTAATTTGGCTCCTTATCGTTGGCAAACACTACCATAATATGTACTTGTTGATCTTGACAAGTATTTTGACCTTAATAGTGTCGACCTCCATTACACTTTGTGATAATGATGTACCACATTTATCAGCTCAGTTTTAAGCAAAAAGGCGATGATTGAAGATGAATGGTTGATCAGGTATGATAGTATTGTGCAAAACAATTGAGGCCAGGACATATTTTAAAATGAATCACAATTCTGTGTGTTATTACATTTAGCGAATTAAATTGGATACGAATCTTTGAAATTATCTCATTTCGGTACTTTATAATGGAACAACTGGAGTGTGTCATAGACTAACCTTCACGTGGTGCACGCTGGGCAACGTATACTCATACGGCAAAAAATTTATCAACCGCCAGTTGGCTTCTGACTTCAAACAAACATGACCCCACTGAATGTCATATTCGACCCCTTCAACAATACTCACCTTACCCAACTCTATATCATTGTGTCTGCCTCTTTTACATCAGAAAATCACTCTTCGGTCCCCCTCTTGAATTTTTCTCACTTTGATGTTTCTCCCCTCTGTGAAGTTCGAAGTCATCTAAGGGCTAATGATAGCTATCAAAACGCCTGCCATTTTCAATAAATAAATAATGGAACAACTACTATTATTTCTGTTGAATATCAGCCTAAATCAAGTATGCTTTATACACAAACCGAAACTACAACTATTAACTGCCATATTCAAAATTGAGAAACCAGCTCTGCCCACATCATGACATTCTTGAAAGAATAATTTTTTGAACAATACTATATTATCAACATCAGAAAGGAAATAAGGTTTTCAAAGATATAAAACTACTGCCTTTATGGTCCTTTATTTATCAATGATTGTTAAAATTTTCGTACCTGCAAAATCGATAATGAATTTCATATTTTGTATGACAAACACCTTAGAATATTTGAATAGTACTGATTAATAATAATCATTAGCTAAAGAAAAACCAATCACAGCTGTTTTTATTCGCTTAAATATTTAATAAGTTGTTTTTTCAAAAATAATTATATGGTGTTTTGATAACTCGAAACTGTAAGTCCTTTAGAGTGCGCCGGATATAATCGATTAAGATGATTATAAAATTTGGGTGCTCTAGGTGGTTCATACGCTTTATAATAAATAAATAAGTAGTTCTGGTGTAGAAGAATGGGGAATGGTTGAACTACAAGGTGATATAATTGACAAAACGGATGGCAGCCTTAGTGGAAAAGTCATCGGTGATTTGCACTTTACCCGTCAGGTGTGATCTCATACTAACTTCTTTCATTTTTAGAACGTACCTGTACTTATTATTGGGCATAATATTTTGCATGGCGAGATTATTAATCTGTCAAAGCCCTTCGCCGTGCTTCAGCGGGTGGCAAAGGACAACAGCACTGAGCTACTTGTCACAGCCGTCATCAAGAGAAAAATAATTTTTAGAGTACGACCAAAACCTATCATATGGATGCAAAAGTAGCTTCAAAAATTCTGTGTGTTTTTAAAAAAATATTTTTGTATACTGAGAACATTATTTTAATTATCGTATTTCATAAATCAGACTTTATCCATTACAATCGTGTCCTTAATTGAGCATAAAGTAAGAATTGTTTGTTTTATTTTTTTTATGCATGAAATATAGTAAAAGGATTCCCAACGTTAATGATCTTTCTCTATTTCCTAGGGTAAGCGTTGTTAAAATATTATCGTGGCAATTCCTTTTTCTTCCTGCGCTTCATTATGACCCTAATTATGTGGTTGTATTGAGTATTACTGGATTTAGCGATATTTACGTTTAGCACTTTTATTTCAATCATTTCGAAAAAGGCTTACTACTGGTGCTGTTGTAATTTTTCAAACCTCAAATGTGGAGTTATCGGCGTTGAAGTGATATGGTTTCCAAGGTCACTCCTATAGGTAGCATCATATTCAATGTATTTCTGCCTTCCTAAACATTCTCTGACTTTCACTTTTTGCATACCTGCGTATTCTTTAAAAAGTTGGTACTATCGTCCCACTGTTCATCCACAAATGTTAGTCATCGAATATATATGGGCAGAAATCACTGGGCATAAGATAAAAGGTTCAACTCTTCTGATTTTTATTAGCTTGGTTGTTAAAAGAACAGATGTTTCAAAATAACGAACTCCACTAAGCAGAAGTTTATTTGCCCCTTTATCGCATCACACTTGCCGTCTCTCTGGACTGAAACTCATTTTTCCTTATTAGTTTCAAGTACGTTCCTTTGATTGGGAAACATGTTTTTAAGAAAATCAGTTCAGTGAAGGGATATCCTATCTATTTTGGTCTGATTCTTCTTTATACTAACCTAATTCCGTGCGAATTTAAGGTATTTAAACAAAACGTCGCATATGTTAATTTTGACCGTGGAATCAATAAACAGTTGTTGCAGTGGTTCCGCTCTCTGGATTGCCTTGTCTTCCCGTGCGATTGGCGATTCATATATCTGCATTAAAGTCTCATTGCTCCCCAATAAACGAAGAACGCAAAGGCGTTCAGTACTGAAACGCCCTCTCTGTTCATTGTTCTTGCTGCTCTTGGTATTCTGTTGGTCTTAGGAGGATAATCAGTTCAATAATGTGGAGCTCTCAAAGTAGTAAAACTACTTTGTTATATTGATTTTAACGATTAAATCATACATAGACATTGCCTCTGTGGGTTGGGCTACTCCAAACTGGTAATTTCTAAATTGCCTCCCAATGTAATATCCGTTTATAGCCAACGTCAATGCTATGATTTTTTTGTAAGACTTTACGCCACTCTAATTAAAACCGCAATAGTTTGATTATAAATGCGCAATTAGAAAATAGTCACGAGTTATACGAACTTAGCATTTAGAATTTTGTGTACTGAGGCGTAATGCACTGTGGAACTTAAAATGCCTTAAGAAAGTGTATATTTGATCTGCATAGGACTGCTTTTCATAGCACAAGCAATTTTATTTAAAAATAGGCTACCATGGACAAGCGCTATTAACTTCTTACTTACCTCATTGCTGAAAGGCAAATTTTGGAACTCCTAGAATAACCTCTCGACCGTCAGGCCCACCCTTATCGATTTTGGTAAAATGCTCCCTCTTCACCTCATCCATTTCGTACAAATCTTCCGTCTTTGAACGGTCATTAGATATTACTCTCGATCTCTAGCACCTACCGTTAAAAACTCGATTCTCTGATTTGATCATGATTTTACCTGGTGCCTGCCCTAGTATTCCCTCTCTGTCTTAATTCTCTCCCAGCCATCGCAAATTTCCTTTCTTGCGGTTAAAGTTACCCTCTTTTATAAAAGCACCTAGAGGTAGTTTGCAGGGACTCATGAATAAATTGTTTGGAAAAAAACATTTCTAAGGCGCTACGTTGATAACACAACAAATAAAAAAACATCCGGTGGGTCTTAGGTCAATATACTTGCCGAAATTTATCAAGTAAATGAAAAGGCACATGGAGAGTGAGTGAGTAAATGCGAATTTTTCATTATATGTGAAAAAAACTCCCTAGGGTATTAATTCGGGTTTTAAAACGATTAGAGGCATAGGTAAAGAACATGGGCATAAGAAAGAAAAAAAGATTTTTTTGCTATAAAGCGGACTCAGAGTACACAACAAAATTTGCGCATTATTGCGAAAAAACGGATCGGTTGAGCGCATAGTAAGGCTAGCGAGCGTCAAATAGAGGATATGAAAAACCTGATTATCACAAATTTGTCAGCAATAAATGTGGTTTGCGTTGAAAATGACCTCAAATGAAAAAGCTCAATACCGAAACTCCCTACAGTATTTTGTCATTTATAGATTTAGCCTATTTTATAACTTAACTTTGAATATTCGTGAGTTATGCCCAAAGCATAAAGCAACTAGTATTATCGTTTGCTACGTAAGATGTCACTGGAATTACAACTAGTCAACAGAAGTCCAGCAGAATGTCTCAAGTCACGATTCTTCGCAAGTGCTTTTCTTCAATGACAGTAAAACAACGTAGACATTTGCATAGACAGGAAAACTCGATGTTCATCGATCCACATCAAGTGATGTTGATATCCGGCAAAAAGTAAAAGGTTGCAAAAAGTGAGTTCGCCAATCAAACAAATGCAGTATAACTTTCAGCTGCCCACGTTGAGTATTAATTACGCTTTTTTCTTACTGAACTTGGATTATAAATCTAAAGAAGTAGCCAATACGTATTCAAATATAGAGGTTGTATTTCTTAAACATTAACACATGTAATAAGTCACATACGCACATAACCACAAACTTATTTGAAAGAAAGTAAATCCTGAGGAGCGATTACGGAGCTTTCTCTAAGAGAGAGAATCACCATCATCAGAATCATTCGAATCACTGAGATGCAGAGCATGTTCCATAAGGGCTTTTTGTACAGACGCTGCTGTTGCATTCGGCGTAGGAGGATGAGGAGCAGAGGCAGGATTGGTATTCTGTGGCTTTACTGGTACACCCTCATCGTCACTCAAATCACTCAAACTAGAAATGCTAGATTCAGCATTATACGGCACCTGAGAACGTTGTTGATTAGGATTCAGAGATTTTCCAGCCTCATGGATGTTGAGAGAGGAAGAGGAGTTTGACGAGCCAGATGAAGAAGAGGAAGAAAGAGGAGGAAGCGCTGCAGCATTGGAAGATTGAGCAGGGGTTTTTTGCGCTATCGAAGGACGTGATTTGTTGGTAGGATGACGTCTATCAGAATCAGAGCTCGATTCGGATATGGATCTTACTTTCGTTTTACATACAGAAGATTGACGCTGGGAGGTGGGATTTTGAGCTTGGGATTCGGGTTGCTTTTTAGAAGGCGGAATATCTCGAATGTTTTTCATTTGGGCAGATTTCGAAATGCGTTCTAGTGTCATTTCCCCAGTCTAGAAATAGAAACAAACCGAATGAGGGACTCACTTAATGAGTTTTTTACATGGAGAGATACCCACCGCTCTGTTGAAAATGAGAACACACTCTTTCGGAGCCGGACGGAGAGTCCCTTTAAAAAGAGTCGATTGGTGATCTGCACTAGGCACGTTGGGTAATCGTACGTCCACATCTTTGTCGTTGGTGATTTTAATCTGACCAGGCTGGTCCCGATCAACTGAAGCGGGCAGAAAGTCACATCTCATAGTAATGAAACCGTTTTGTGAGGGATTGGTGAAGCTTTGCCCAAGCTTTACATCGTATGTCCCCTGAAGAGGCATTTTAGACATAGATTTTGTCGAAGCCTCCAATAAAATAATAGGTATAATATAGTGCGGTATTTCAAATTACAGAAAGACTAGGCTCGAAGTGAAGCAAAAACCTCTCAAAGTAATGGGCAAATCATAAGCACATTAAAGCACGATCCGTTATAAATTTAGCCAATAATAGTTATTTTTAGAATAATGAATTTTACGCGTGATCAAGAAACTTTTTATCAAAAGTTTTGGAATTTATTAAAAAAATAATTTGCATTCAGTTGCTTCCAAGCTTTGATTTCCCTATGAATACTAACTTGATGACCATTTAAAAGAATGGAAATTCATAAGATTTAGTTAATAAATTTAACGACTAAATTGAATTCATTGAAGCTTTTATAAAGTGGGAGGTTTCAAATGATTATTTTTTTCAATTCTTTGGAAGATAATCATGTATGTTGAACGCAAATAAATCTAAATGTAATTATTCGTCTCTTACTTTATCTCAACTCAATTTAATACCACGATAATAATAATAACAATAAATAATTGTTTAATATAATTTTTATTTATACTAATCATGTTTATTATTTTATCAATTGTATCCCACAGTAATGACTTTGGTCTATATACTTTTTCCTGTTATAATCTTACCTCAACTCTTTATAATTTGTAAATATTATCTTCGTATTTATTGTTATTTTCAAATTAAGTATGATAATTATTGTTTTGATGTAATGTAAGGTCTTTATAGCAATCGTATTATGCATTTATAGTAAGTACAATAATAACGAAAAAGGAAAGTGATTCTTATGAAGAAGCACAGAGATACTAATTTCTTTAACAATTAAAAATTCAATTCAATGTTTTTTCTTAAAATATTAATTTGGTTGTGTTTGATCGATTTGCTGTCAAAATCCATCCCATTCGAGTAATAATGAAAACGTCCGTTTTAGGATGGAGACAATATCGCGAATGCAGTTTAAATATGTCCTGGATTGACCCACAAATTTTGATTAAAGTGATGGGTTTTAATTCATACGCTTCTTCCTGAGCCGCGAGTCATATCGAAGCTTCTGCGTTTCCATGAACGTAAGCATTTGTCGGCAAGTCCCATCATCTGGGATCACTAAATGTTTGTTTAGATATTCAGAGTATGTAAAACTTATTTAGTTGTTGCTCTAGATTTAGCACATAAATGCGGGTGCTGATTGTGGCAATAAGTTGAAATCACATGCTAATTATATAGTTATTGGATATCACACAAATTTGAAATGATGTTATTCCAAATTGTACTATGCTTAAGTTATATTCAGTAGAACTATGTGGTTGTAATTTCATAAACTAACAATGAGCATTAAGTATCATAACAAAGTGACACTATGGAGAAGGTTTGATTTGTCAACCGTTACTGCATTAAATATATACACAGAGATAAATAACTTTCAGCCATAGTGCCCTATGACTAAATATATTATAGTACATGAGTAAAAGGTTTGGAAGAAAAAACTATAACCTATTTAACGTTGTCTACTTATTGCACAAATTGGAATAATTTTTAAGATCATTTAGGAGCTTATGAGGTACTTAGGGCTAAATTAACCATTTTTGCCCAATAGCGCTCTTATAATTTTTTATAAAATATATGATAGCGGATATGACGACCAGTAACAAGTATTGAACATGATACTGTGTAGATTACAAGCTTCCTGAAACTAATAAGCTCAAAAACCTAACACTAATGCAAGACCACACCAAATGTAAAAATGATGTATACATGTGACTATTTTAAACCAATAAACTAAATGTGGATCCGGGGACATCATATCAAGTACCTGTAAAATTAAGAACAATTTACTTCTAGTTCTCTCTTTACTGCTGAGAAGTGGTTGATTATTCCAAAATTAGAGTTATCATCAAATTCTTACAGCGTTAACTAATAGAGATAACAAATTCACATTACAACAAAATCTAACAGGGATGCATAAATCGGAGGAACTGGGATAAGTGGCAATATCAAGATCACTTTACACTAATAATAAACACTGCTCTATGTCCCTGAATTTAAGTATGGATAGTCAAATGCCTGCAATTCATTTGCCACACTTTTAGTTCAGTCTAAAAAGATTATTTTCATTACGTTATGATAGGCTCAAATCTTCCTTTGTCTTTTATATTATTAGTCTTACTTACTGAATATTCAGTTTTTTTCGGTTAATTATGCCTGCTCTCTGCTTAACACACCGCATGCAGTGTTCTTTAGGCAAATTAATGTTATTTTCATATCTTTGTTGCTGCGGAAACATTTATGCAACTATTCTAAATTTATAGGAATCATTTAACATAAGACATGTTGCAACATTATTTAGCAATCATTTATACGTTTGGACTACATTTTGATTATTTGAAGAAGAAAGAACAAATCATACATATTAATTGAATGGCATACTCAAAGTAGCAGTGTTTGATCAATATTGTAAAGAAAGTAGATATATGCTAGCTAGCATTTTTCTAACATAATATATCATGTTGATAGAGTGAAATTTTACATCTTGCATTAAATTAATTCATAATTTTATAGTAAGTAAATGTGTTTATTACATTTAATCACATGCCACATGATGGTATATACGTTGACAATTTGATTGTAAACAATTGAAACATACTAAACCATTTGAGTTCGGTTCATTTATAAACGATTTAATTATATTTTATATTCATTTGATTCTGAGGAAAAAGCGTTTTTTACATCAGGTTATGATATCTGAGGCCGTTTTATGATGTTATTCAACTTGCAAAATCTATAGTGAATCATGACCCTACAAGATTGTTTTAGTTAATTCACTAACGGCGCGAATTTTGACCGTTCCCTTATTACATATCTATTCTATTAAATAATCCCTCGATTAGAGCTGAAGCTCTATTTAATATATATTTTGTAAAAAATATAAAATGTCCTTGGCAACAGATCGAAAAGCTGAATTAGAACAAAAGAAGGAGAGACTGCGAGCGCTCCGGGAGGAGAAATTTCGAAGAGAGGAACTCAGACGCCAGGGTCTTAGCGGATTTAGTAGTACACCATCTTCAACAGCTGATCTTCATGGTGAAGCTGATGCCCTCTTAAAAAATCTCGGCATTGGTCCTCTTAATGAACCGGATGTGTCCGATATAAGCATGGTTTCGCTTGTTCCAAACGAAGAAGCCACAAAGTAAGCCTCTGTTTCCCGAAATGCCTATTTTAGACCTGTTCCTATAACAAAACGCCCAAAGAAATTACAATATTGTCTCGTGTCAGAGTTTGATGTTCAGCCACATCCTCGTGATAGTTACGCCAAGGAAACTCAAACTATTGCAATTAACATCAATCCTGATGGTAAGCCTATATATATATATATATATATATATATATATTGTGCACATTTGATTACGGGTATTTATTAAAATTGAATAAATATCACTTATTTCTGACTGTTATTTTTATTTTGGATTGCAAATATTTCCTATCGTTTTAATATTAGTTGAATATAATAACTCCGTTAAACGAAAATTGATTAAAATATTGGATCTACTCTTTTCGTTATCCTATTTTAGCGGGTACCATGGATTATTATGGTAAGCAGAATGGAATGAATGCAGTCCAGTGTGTTGTTGCTATGGCTTATTGCTTCTCAAACCTTTCTCCTAGATTTCTATAATTATTTGCGATCTGTCTAACGTTCATATGCCATTTTTTTCTTGCGCTCAGATTTTTCATTAAACGTTCACGAATCATCTCTATTCTTTCATTAACTTCGTACACTAGTTTTATTCTTCCTTTATTTCCGTTTTGGTTCTGATTAAATCAGTTTACTTAACTGTCTGGAATTTTTATAGTTTTACAATGATGCAAATGCCTTAACTTCATTTTTTTCCAAAGTGCTTTCAACATTTTACTTCTGCAAAAATGCAAAGAAGTGTACATTTGGTGCCGAAATGTTATCTTTTCTCTAGGAGTCTAGTATTATGACATAAGTATTGTTTCTTTCTTGGATGCTTGTTTTTTTTGTAACATAGATCACATGTATTAATATAAAATTAGTCAATTGCTTGCTCATAGCCATGACTTTTCTCTTGAATGCTTAACAAGCCATCTATGCGTCACAGAAATACCCATTCAGGAATGAGTTTTTTCTACTTAAGCATTGTAGCAACATATGAGGTTAATGCCAATTTCTTGAAAATCGAAGCTCCTTATTTTGATGCTACATTCTTCTGTAATAATAAGTGCATCGGTGGCGCCGTAGTTTAGTTGTGCGCCTGTAAAATTAGAGGTCAAGATATTGGTGGTGTCGGTATTGCGTACCGGGTGACTAACTCCTCCGGTTAGTTTTGGCCACCAACGGAGGCCGTCGAATATGAATTTTTCGTAAGAGCAGGTCCAGGTTACCTCCTCTAATTGCCTTGGAGTATTTGTTACTAATAATCAGAACTTTTTACTTTGTTAAGGTTCACAATTTGATTGATGCCTGATTCAGTATTATTATCTGATTTCATTTTACTAGTTCATCAACACCTCGAATACCTATGCTTTACTTCCAGTGCTTATTTTTGTTGTTATCCGCATACCTTTCTCTTAGTACGTACACTCTTCCATATTTCAGGCTTATTTTCCAAGATTGCTCTCTATGCGAACTTCATCTACTAATTCATCTTCTCCCTCTCTCTCTCTTCCTCTCAGATTTTCCTTTTGTTTCATCACATTGTTTCATAAAATTTATCGGCACACACCAATTGCATGCGCACTGGCTTTGAACCATTCTCTTTCGCCATTGTAGCTGCTGCCCTATCTTACACACTGGGCATTCTTCAATATCCACTTTTTTGTTGTCCCTTCAGTTCTCACCTACGATGATTCCCCAGCCGAACACGATGGTCATTTGGTTGGCACCCCTTCGGAGGATGAACGAGTTGACGCTAAGATGTTGAAAAGTGTGCATGGCGAGATTCCCAAGCAGAGTGCTCCCATTCCCAAGGAGGAATTAGAGGAGTCTGTCCGTAAGTTATTTAATCAGTCTTCACTTAGAAGGGTCGAGAAAGAGCAAGAATTTGTAGGTTATATATATATATATATATATAGAAATTAGTTGTTGTAATAGGTGTTGAATCGAAATGACATTGGGTTACATAAAGATAATGATTTGTGCTTAGGATACGTTAATTGATGGCATAAAATTAAATAGAGATTAAACATATTTTTGACAAAATTATGCAACAGACAGCGAATAATGAGTGCCTAGATAGACGGGCTTCAAATTATAGGGGAATATTAAATTTTAAATCAGTTGATGTACCATATGTCCTCACATTTTTTAGTTGTGGAGCTAACCGAGGAACAGAAACAGCAGATGCTTCTCTCAGAAGGTTTTCGTAGTTTCTTTGATCGTTCCTCCCGCATTGTTGAAAGAGCCCTCTGTGAAAAGAGTCAATTCTATCAGAGTGACTTGGAAAGCAGTCCTCAGACTGGAGAATCGTAAGTTATTTGCCCCTCATCAAAATTACTCTTACTCCTCCTAAGTCTTGACCAATCAGTTCGTTTCTATTTAGCTTCGCACCGTTTTGCTAGGTGAAGTCAGTTTGTTCGCCTAGTTTGTTGTTGATTTTGCGAAAATTACCTGTTAAATGTTTAAATCTTTCTTATTGTCTTTAGTCTTAAGCAGTTACACCTTTTTAGTAAACAATTAACTGCGGTGATCGTTGATTTGATTGGTTTATTCTTTCTGTCTTTCTGCCATTAAATGAATTCCTTCACCTACGCAGCTTAGAATTTTACACACTTTAATTGGAATAGAATTACAGAAAGTCTCTGATGTGAGTATTGCTATTCGATCTGCTTTAAGGTGGTCTATGTGCATGAATTTTCTATTGGAAATTCTATTTTCTGTTTTAAGCTCTATTAACTTATGGTTTAGTGTTTGCTTATTGATTCCATTTTCTTTGGTTTCTGTGTTGATCTGTTTGCTCATTCGCTCTCTTTAATCGTTGTGTCTATTTTGCTGTATTGCTTCTTTTGCTATTATTGCGTTTTTCCAAATGGTTCTAATATGTCTAAATTTGTTTTTTTTTGTGCCGTTTCATATCTGCACTGCTTATTATCGTTTTCTTCACAATACAAGTCCCGTTAATCTTGAAATTAATTGTATTCGTGTTATAACTTAATTAGCCTCTCAAAATAGCCCTAAATCTCATAACTCACTAATAACACATAATTCATCCATCATCCATCACTCCAAAGGGTTTGGCTCGAAGGTGATTACACTGATCAAAGTATTTCTTTTTTGACACTGATCTTGGTAGGCGATCTAGGTGTTCTTGAGTGGTTAAAGTACGAAAACCTTATGCCCACCTAGGAGGATTATTTGGTCTACCCGGTAGTCAAGAAGGCAAGATTTCGGAGAGCATTTTACCTGTGCCATGGTTGACAAAAAGGAAAATGCTTACTATCCTCCTACTGATGTGCACATGAAATTTAGGTTATTCTATTCTCACTTAATTCCGGTTGATCTGCTATTCCATTAATTGTTCTTTAATTATCAGGTGCCCTTTATAAGGAACGCTTCACTGATCGCACTTGAGGTGGAAAAAGAGAGAATTTTGACCTAAAAGTATGATTTCCTCTTGGGAAAATAAGCCCACGTAAGTAGAATTGTCTATGAGCTGAAGAATTGAACGCCTGATTACCCTATCATTCTAGCGCTCACTCGTCACCCATAGTTTTACAAATTAAATGGTGATGATGGAAATCCAATTAACTATAAACCAGTGCGCGAGGTGTAGAGTTTGTGAGTTTCTTCCGAAAGCACTTAGGAAATATATATATATATATTTTGGCCCTCCTAGAAATTCCACTTTAGGTTTTTGCTTGATCAGCTACAAAGCCATCTAGTTACCCCCTTTATTGCTATTCCAGAATATATCAATTCGCTCGGTTTCATTCCAATAGTCCATTACTTCTGCTTTGTTTGTCTACTTCTTTGCTCTTCCTGTGCTTATTTTGTGCGAACCCCGATTTAGTTTTGTAAAATTAATCTTGGTTCCTTTAATTGATCTTTGCTTTTCTCTTGCATTAGAATACCTTTTCCTAATATCCCCCCCCCCTCCCCCAGATCATATATCTGCTGTCCTTGGCGTGCTTGCTCATACAATTTACACGATTATATGCGCCTCTAACTCTGTAGAGTCTTGTGCGGTCATTTTTTGTTGCAGAGGCAACTGTGGTAACATCGGTGTGTGCACTTCATTATATCCGAAATTCTCTCAGCCAAGCTGTTCTTTTATGCACGCATTGTTTACTAGTATCTCATTCCTCTATCACTCACTACACCGCGTGTCCCCATTATTGCTTGAATTTCGATGGTGCTTTAGTACGTCTCCAGATTAGGTTCACTTGTCGATTCTACTTTCCCTTATTTTACTGAATAAGTAATTGTCTCACTCGTATTCCATTCACTAGATGGATCTCTTGCACTCAGTCTAACTCGTTTACTGTATGTGTAGGGCATAAATGCTTGATTGATAAATGAAGTTGTTCCCTTACCTTTTCGTTGAGCTATCTGTGTGTGGCTCATTACACTAGAGTTTGTTCTTCCCGTTATATTGCTAATCCGGTTAGTGTTATATTATCGTCATTATTCAAACAAGCCGACTTGCAGCCTCTACCCTCTTTTCCTGCCACAACGGAGCCTGTACTGCGCCTGTTTCTGGTGCCTACACATTTCTCTCCTGGTGTTAGCAGAGGCATTGCGTGTAATTAATGCGCCTTCGTATGCGCGCGGGTGGGATTGTGTCGAATGTCACTGTATTTTGACTACAAATGTGCGTTGACTTTTTCTGGCAATGAGTCAAACCTCGCACTGCATTGTCTCCCCTCAAATCTTTCGCATTGTTTTTTCAGGGCGGAAGAGATAGGGAGATATGACTTTTGACTTGAACCCCAAGATCGGCTGCTGGGAATGTTGTTACTGCCTGTCTTGTAGACGTAGAAAGTTATCGATGAAAAAATGGAAAAGAGCGAGAGGCAGAAGGCATCTTACATGTTAAAAGCGTTGAAATTTCATTTTTATTAAATTAAGGCGGTCTTTCAGATTGTTGGAGTTTCTTTGAGAGCCCAATTAGTCTTTCTGCTGAACATTTTGGACTTGCTTTCATTTACCAACACCAACTACTGGAATTTCACGCAGAAAGCCGTGGGGGGATGAAAAATTTGTATCTTAAACAGCGTTTTTTCTCCTTTTTACAAGATAATTTTACTTATATAAGCTAAAGTATGTGATAAATGATTGGCCGTCTGATTTGATAAAATTGTACCAGTGTGAGTATAACAGATCAATAATCAATAAACCAATACAGGAAGGAAGAAGATTGTCAACTTCTTTTGAGTATACTGAAAAGATGCGGTTGAGCTTCGTAACGATTGGGTTTTTTTATCAATGTCAGGGATTTTGATATGCCTAAAAGATCACTTATCAGTCCCCCCCCCCACCCAACATTAATAAAATCCACGTATTAGGTAGATTTGCCGAGTTTAGTAGCAAAGAAGTGTTTCGTGTATGCATTGCAGATCTTATGAGATAGCAGAATAGTGCCACTGGTAGGTTATGTGTTAAGTATGCATAAATTCAAGTTGGTAGTAGGTCGTGCAGGGTCAAGCTACTTTCTTGTACTTACGCTGTAAGCAGTTGAATTCTACTTCTATTTCCCCACTTATCGCCACTCTATTAACGAAAAATTTTACATCTTATCGCAATTAGACGTCTCTCTACATAGTCGCGATTATTATTGATGGGGTTTTTAATGGCAAAGAAAATACCCGGTAATTTCAAAAACAGCGAATTAAAAATTACAGTCAGGGTTGAATGCATTTTGCATAAAGGTAGAATGTCTAAAGTGTTGATTATAAACAGAAGCCAACTTTCGGGAAATATTGCGAGAATTTGCAAAAAAAAGATATTTTTTCACATATTGTTTACCACGTGCTCATTCAACTTTGATAACTGGATTACAATGAAAAAATGTTCGCCTTGATTTGATCTATGTAATATGTTGATGTCAAGCCGGAGCTAAATCTAATCCAATGACTTTGTATAACCTGGTAGATCCATGTCGCAGAAAAAAAACGTATGCTACGTTGTTGGTAGATAAGGTGTTATTGAAAGCCTCGTTGTCTTTGTTTTGTTTGCCTGTTTTCAATAGTGAAGGTGGAACTCGCTTGTGTTTTCTTAATCCTGTTTCTTACAAATCAGCTCAAATTCGTCTGAACATGAAATAAGGCCCCCACCCCTCCCCCCGAAGTTTACCATGCTTATGATATTGGCGCCATTCAAAATGTGATAACAGATTTTATATCCGAATTTCTGATTTTGCAAATCTTAGTAAACTGATCCTTATCGCTTTAAATTAACCGGTTTTTTGTTAGAATTGTCGAGTCATCGACTGCAGATTGGTAGATCTCGAACCCATGTTCTTTACGAAAGAGATAACTGTTTCGTTTCGGATATCGGACTCCTTTGAAGTTGGAAAACGATATAGTTTTGCTTTTTCTTAAGTGTTCAGCTTTTCTTTGGATCTGCATGTTTTCCCTACTTCATCACATATTCACTTCAAAACAGGCTACTTTGGTTTATGTGTTAATTATTATTTATACTTATCTAATTTGAATCCTGAGAGCATTCAACTCATGTATCATTTAATATGTTTTATTCTATGAACAGACGAGAAAATCTACTGCCGCACGTTTTGGATCTCTATTCAGAGCGTTGGAGCAGCAAACGCACTGTAGTGGATCTTGATTGGTCGCCAGTTTTCCCTGAACTTCTACTAGCCGCCTATAGCGCCAATGAAGAGACGAATCAAGAGCCGGCTGGTTGCTGTATGGTCTGGAACCTCAAGTTTCCCACTCGTGGTTCGCCTGAATTTCGCTTCCATTGTAATGAACCAATCACTGCTGCAGCTATGGTGCGCTTTCATCCCAACTTAGTGATTGGTGGAACTTATTCGGGGCAGGTCGTGCTTTGGGATAGCCGGTGAGCAAGTAAAAACTAGTATAAGTTTATATTATATGCTAGCATTTGAAAACGAGAAATGCCAACTTAGTTCAATAAGTTTCAGATGTTTTAGCGCAGGAAGTGTTCCGCTGATTTAAAATGGTGAAGATTGTAAGAAATTAGGTGGTAGCTGATAACTCAGCAAGAATTCTAACTTGATGTCACTTAGACTCCTACAATAAATGTATGAGTTCAAAATTTTGACAGCGCACATTTGGTCTTATACGATTTCAATTTTGTCAGTTCCAATAAGCGGACACCGGTGCAGCGAAGTACATTCACAGCAGTCGCTCATACGCAGCCGGTCAACTCGGTTCAAGTGATCGGGTCTCAGAATGCTCATAATGCAATAACACTGAGTTCTGATGGAACAATGTGCTCATGGAGTCTGGATATGTTGGGTGCTCCAAGGGAACATATTCGTCTCTGCGAAAACCCTGATATTCCCCCAGGGATCTTTGATCTCTATTCCACATGCATGGCTTTCTTCGCTGGCGATCAGAATAATTTTGTGGTTGGCACTGAGAGTGGTAACATCTACACCGACCAACGCCATTCCAGGTTAGTTTTTGTCAGCTTAATTGCTTTAACTGGAACTCGAATATATGTATATTGTAAATTTGGTTCAACTTAAAACAAATTAGCTATAGTGTGTTGGTTTGTTTTAATTAGCCGTACTGCTGATGGTCATGGGGGTAGTGGCGGTCGTCGACTTCAATCCTACCGTGGTCATTCCACAGTAGTGAGTGGAATTGCAACACATCCATCATCCTGCGCTATATCCTTCTCTCACATCTTCCTGTCCTCTTCACTCGATTGGACAGTTCGATTGTGGTCGGTGCGTGATCACCATACACCACTGCACACCTTTGACGACTATTCTGAGTGCGTTTACGGTGTTGATTGGAGTCCCATCCATCCTGCTCTCTTTGCGGCTTGTGATGGCACTGGCCGCCTAGACATATGGAATCTTAATGACGACATTGAGGTGAGTTACTTAATTCCCATAAGTGGATTGTCCATACCAAGTGTTATTATGTTTTTGTTGGCCCTAGGTCCCAACTGCTCAGTGGATAAACAAGAAACACTGGGCCATGAATAAGGTGAAATGGGATATCACAGGTCAACATATCGCTGCTGGAGATGATGAAGGCCATGTGCATGTTTGTGCAGTTGCGAGTCAATTAGCGGTGCCGGGTCCAGAGGACGCAACGCGATTGGCTCATGTATTTTCAAATCTCAAAGCCACTTCTACTAATCAAAACGGTTTTTTCTAAGTGATTTTTCTCCTTTAATCTTGTCATCTTTCACGGTGTCTTTTCTCTTTCTCACTTTTTCGATTTCTTCTCATTTGTCATGTCTTATTTTCATTGGAGATTGGTGGCTGTGTGACCTCGAAGTGACCACTGTTTTAATTGGTTTTGTCTTAGCGCGGAATGTCCTTTGCGCCTTACTTTATTTGCAAGTGATAATGCGGATTAAACTATCAAAGAATACTCACATATTTTGAACTCTGGGTCTATAACTATGATAATGGACGCTGTTATTATCAAATGATTTACTAATAAAATCTAAGAAATGGGCATATTGCTTTTTTGTATAAATATGCTTTTCGTTTCTTGTGTAGTTATTGAATTCTAGTACTGCCTAAACTATTGATAGATTTGTTGTGCTTAGAGATGCATTTCAGCTTCTTCACAATTTGACTTAATTGATGAGGGGATATTTGATTCGTTATCCATAAGTAGGTGTCTCAACATGATTATCTAGGCCTGTGTTATTCGGTTTAAGTATAATGTGTGCTTCTAGATTAGCTTTCAATGCAATGGAATTGTTTTCTCCCAGAAAAGAGATTTGTTCATCGATGTCGTTGCTAGCACTTGCTATGGTTATTGGTGGTTGGCCTGTCAATTCAGCGGCTTTCAAATCAATGCCCACCCGCATAGATGGTACAACTGCACTGGTTAATTGGGATCAACAACCGGATCATCGAGACGACTCTTGTAAAGTGTTTACTCATATGATTTCCAGACTCAATGATTACATTATGCTCAAAATATTCATAGCTGGTTGGATATTAGATTGAATTCTGTGATTGATTATGCCAGTAATGACTGATAAAACTAAAATAACCAAGTACACAGGCTTAAATATAATCTCCAGCCCTTTAGTGAGGTGTTATCAAGAAAATTTCTTGGATAAAGGGTTAGTATGTTAATTGCTTCAAGACAAAGAACAAAAAGGACGCATCTCATTTATTCACTAATCCAAAAAACTATAATTACCTTTTGCGCTCACTGGCGGGCTTTAGATATTAATTAAATGAAAATAGGAGGATAATTACTTCTACCAAATAGCTGGCAAATAATTTGTATTGTAGCGGATTTCTGCGTCAGTAAAGCCTGACTGACTCAGAAATCTCTGTGGCAGATTCTCCTGACTCAGAAATCTCTTTGGCAGATTCTCCTACATCTAGACCGACTCAGAAATCTCCATGGCAGATTCTCAAACATCTAGCTACCGGCTCAGAAATTTCTATGGCAGATTCTCCAACATCTAGCTAGGAATCAGAAATCTCTATGGCAGATTCTCCAACCTCTAGCTAGAGAACAGCTAAGCTATAGCTCAGCTATAAAGAAAACAGACGTGTAGCACGGAGCGCGTTTATATCTGTGGCAGATTCTCCTACATCTAGCTAGACTCCCAGAACGGCAGATTCTCCAACGTCTAGCTAGACTCCCAGAACCAGGGAGATTCTCCTACATCTAGCTAGACTCCCAGAACCAGCTAAACCATAGCCCAGCTATAAAGGAAACAGACGAGTAGCACGGAGAATTCTCCAACATCTAGCTAGACTCCCAGAACAAGCTAAGCTATAGTCCAGCTACAGAGGATACAGACGTGTAGCACGGAACATTTATTCAGTAGCGGAAAACAGACGTGTAGCAAGGAATACGTTTATTCGATACGGGAAAACAGACGTGTAGCACGGAGCACGCTTATTCAGTACGGATTCAGACGTGTAGCACGGAGCACGTTTTTTCAGTACGGGTATCAGACGTGTAGCACGGAGCACGTCTATTCAGTGAGCATATTACGAACCAGCTAAGCTATAGCCCAGCTATAAAGGAAACAGACCGAAACTAGCTAAGCTATAGCCCAGCTATAAAGGAAACAGACGATAATTCGGAACACGTATATTCAGTCACGTAATGATCAGAAAAGTGGGCACGGGGCACGTCTATTCAGTACATATATCGCGGATAAAGTATACACGCAAGAAGCTTAAACATGATCAGGATGGCGGATTAGGTTAAACAAACAGAGGTTAATGATTGGTCACTATTTGTACGGTCATCCCTCCCAATCCTGGCGTGCAGGCATGCGATGACGTGTCCTACAGTATATAAAAGAGAGTAATCTAATTCACTCCAAGCACTAAAATTACAGATAACAAACAACTAGAATTAGATAATAATATTAACATTACTCAGTTACAACTAAAAAAGAGTGAAATTTAATAATATTCACCGATGAAATGCAAGTGCTTATACCTAGCTAGCACAAATGACAAATAAGCCTTTTTGTCGCTCCGATCATTCAAAATTACTTAATCATTAGATGATCCACAATATTGACTTCTAAACATTAATTTCCATATATTTCCAACAATGCCAAGCCAGAATTAAAGTCGAAAACAAACTGATTTTATCATTTTTGGAAATAATAGTTATTGCATTTACTGACACTTTTTTGTTAAAAATGGTAAAGTGTTTTTATTTAAGATTAGTAAAACAAGTAAAATAAGGATTTTTCGAAATTGAAGTTGCGGAAAAGCTTTAATGTTAATATCTACACAACCGTTTGAAAAGCAGTTTGCAACTTTATTTTATAATATTTTATTCATGCTGATAAAGACATTTAAACTTGAGCTATTTATTTCGAATGTTTAATTTATGTACATGGGAATATTTTTTCAAATAATTACTAGGAATTGTATTGCTGTAAAAGAATGGTAAATTGTACTACACTTTTATACTACTGTGAATGTCAATTATTGTGTTCAAATATCTTTGAAAATTATACTTCAACCAAAACCATATCAGTTGTCATTACAAGCTTCGTGAGAAGTCTCGAAGCCAATTATTTAAATTTCTTAAGATAACGGGTGCTCAAGTATTTTGAGGAGAGATATGTGTCAATCATGTGAATATAATTATTTTTAAGCTCTCGTGTATTTTAATTTGATAATATATAAGGAAGAAGACTTAAAACTGCTATTAAGATTCGTAGCCATTGTGACTGTTAGCTAGTCGATTTTGTCAAAATCCTTTCCTAAAAGCATAGAAGTGATTCGAGAAAAGATGATAATTGCATATGAATGGTAAGAGAACAGAAAGCAACGTTCTGCATTATCGATGCTATCATTACTTCTCAGACAAATCAGTCAAAAGGGACTTCCAATGTTAAGTTTTCAGTAGATCTACGGCCCATAAAAAGCTTTTTGCGCTTTAATAGCCATGTATCATCCTCAATTTTGATTCGAATCTCTTCAAAGATACTTCTGGACTTGAAACAACAAGAAATTGCTTATATTGCTTCCGCAAAAAAGTAGAGAAGTAAGATTCTGGATCACTTGGACCAAATCCGCAAGTACTTCTACGATTTTCATCAATTTATCCACCTTTCCGTCCGAAAAGGTTCACTTTATTCTGAAGCCACCGTCAATTGCACAGGTAAGAGCTTGGTAAAAAAATACTCTAATTTTATAAAAAGCATCAAATATGATTTTATGAAAAAAAATTTCAAAATGGGACTAAGCTATTTAAAGAACACCTAATGAAGGATGAGTTAAAAAAGTGAATTCTAATTTTTCGCTGAATGAAATCGACGGACTAAGTAAATTCTCAGTTTGTTGCTTGAGATCAATATCGTCGTCTTAGCAAACCGATTAGTCGTCCTGTCTACCTTTTAGTCAGTTAACCTATCGTCAGTTTGCCTGAAGGGATTCTTTTCAAAGTTTGTTTAATTATTACATAAAATGGATAAATAACATCTATTGAATTGCTCTCTTAAATAATCTCTTTGTTTATAATTCAAAATGTAAAGATAATTTAGACGTACGTAATCTTTAAATGAAGCTTAATTAAGTTTCTTTTGTTTCCAAACTAGAATAAAGCGCTATATTTTACTGATATTTTTAAGTTTAATTTAATCAAGATCATCATTCAGTTTCATTTATTTGAGCATTTTAAGCGCAGCTACCATTATGTTAAAAAGATTTGCTTGAAATTGAAAGCACCCAAAAGGAACAGATTTAACTAATTGTAATTTACACTTGCAGAGTCGATGCCTAACATTTTACGATAATTTTGACAATGAATTTGTCAGAAGAGAGCATTTTGATGATTTATTATCAAAATGAACATTAATTTCAAGAGCCCGTTTTCCTAGAAGTTGCCGTATACGGCTAATGTTTTGAAAGATTATCTTTAAATCATGCAATATAAATAAAATACAATCATTACCATGATATATGTGAATGTATATTTTTATGGATGTCTGTTAGATAAGAATCAGTTTTTAATTTGAATGTGTCATGGTACATTGATATACAAACTACCCAATAAATTAATCAGAAACTTACACATCACTGAGAAACAGTATTTCAATGGTATATTTTTTTAACTTTATGACTCTGCAACCGAAATGAGAAACTGCGCAAACTAAAATTTTTTCAATGCACTTTCAACTTCAATGGTAGAATTGATTTAACAGATACATACAAAGGACCGTGAGAGTACGAAATCACAAAGACTAATTATTAACGAAGAGTCTGTTGAAATTTAAACTTTCTGAATGTTTTCTTCGACAAAATTGATACATATATTTAAGGGTTACTTATAAATTAATGATTAAATATAATAATCTAAAATAAATTGCTATTTAGTTTATTTCAGTTTAAGAATAAATTTTAGGTACCAAAATAGAATATTAGTCACGTATGAAACAATTCCATATTTTAAGATAATATGGAATATCAAAATTACCTCTAATACATTTTGTTCTGTTATAATTGAATATCAGTAGTTGTTATTCCCTACGATTACGTTGAGTTACTGAAATATCCAATTAGAACCGAGCAATCTAATTATTTACTCTGATTTAGCCTGCACTGTTGGTGGTCTGCCCGACTCAGTCTGAATATGAATATTTTTCGACTTTTTGGTGATATATCACACTTTGTTGCCATTATTATCTTACTGCTAAAAATATGGAAAACCAGATCTTGCGCGGGTATGTTTAGTTAAGTTCTTTTATCTTGTTAGGTATATCTGGCAAATCGCAGCTCGCATTTGCTATCGTGTTTAGTGCACGATATTTGGACATATTCATGTATTTTATTTCTCTGTATAATACATTCGCCAAAGTTGTCTTTATTGTCTCTTCTTATGCGACCCTCTACTTGATGTACTTCAAGTTTAAAGCTACCTACGATAGGAACCATGACACATTCCGCTTGGAATTTCTTATCATTCCTAGTGCCGTACTAGCTTTAATCTTTAACTACCACTTCTCTCCATTTGAGGCAAGTCATTCCATTTCCTTTTTAATCGTTCTTAGATTTTGTGGACATTCTCTATCTACCTCGAGTCGGTTGCAATTCTGCCGCAACTGTTCTTAATATCAAAGACAGGTGAAGCTGAGACAATAACTTCACACTACCTGTTTGCTCTTGGTTCATACCGAGCTCTTTATATTTTAAACTGGTTATTCCGATATATTTTTGAGGGCTATGTTGACTATATTGCTATTATTGCTGGTGTTGTGCAAACTGTGCTCTATCTAGATTTCTTCTATCTCTACGTTACTAAAGGTAAGCTCTCGTTTGTATTTTCTTAATTTTCATATTCTTTTAGTCCTCAAGGGCCGAAAGCTTAGCTTGCCTGCTTAAAATATTGTTATTCGTTCTTCTCGCCGCAATTTTTGCGCACAATCTGTAATTATTCTCTATCTTTCTTCTATAAATATATGCGCATTTTGAATTCTGAAGTATGTATTTTGCATGTACTAATGCATACTCATGTCTGGAGGGGGG